ATGGGCACGAGTTTGAGTAGACTCTGGGAGTTGGTGATGGACAGGGAGGCCTGGCGTGCTGTGATTCGTGGGGTTGCAAAGAGTTGGACACGATGGAGCGACTGAACTAAACTGAAATGAACCCAAGGAAAAGGCATATGCAAATGCTCAGTGGAACTCTCTAGGACTGAGCATAGCTTTGTCAGCATGGCCTTGTTCTCCCGTCTACAATGTTGGCACCAATTGTGACAATGGTTTCTCACTGCAAAAATCTTTTCCTGCAATGGACAGATTGGACCTATCTGATAGCTAACTTGATAGTTTTATCTGACTGGACAAAGACTGACAGCTTACTCATTGACCAAAGATCCCAAAGAGGTATCCAGTTGTAAATTCTTTCTGGACAAAACCCACCAGGAAACAATTTAAAGCATTTCAGATCTACTTGGACTGTATAAAATTTTTCCATGGTAAAATGGACAGTCTGCATCTATGGAAAAAGACACGATTCTCATTCAAAGTGAACAAAAGCAGAAATACAGGTAAGCAGACCCACTTTTCAAATTTCATCTGGGACTTCATGAAATAGGAAGAAAAACCAACTCCGTTTCAGGCATGAGGTCTCTATTTTTTTTTAATTTGGCTTCCCTCATGGCTCAGAAAGTAAAGAACCTGCCTACAATGAGGGAGACTCGGATTCAATCCCCAGGTCAGAAACATACCCTGGAGAAGAGAATGGCCGCCCACTCCAGTATTCTTGACTAAAGAATCCCACGGACAGAGGAGCCCAGCAGGCTGCAGTCCATGGGGTGAAAAGAGTAGGACACGGCTGAGCGACTAACACTAACACACAGAATAAACCCAAATGAAGTCTAAAATGACGGCCTTTGTACAAACCATAACAGAATTTACTGTTAGTAACTTGGAGTCTTTGAAATTGTCAAGGATTCTGAAATTCTTTCAATTATTTCTTACTCTACAGCATGTCCTGCCTTTTTCATCATCAAGTCTTCCTCTTTTGTCATCATTTCTATTCTCCACTCATCAGTCTCATCTACAAAAACACTCCCTCTCTTTATTACTGTCAATCCTCTATTTTCATATTCTCTGGTACCAGAAATAAAACTTTTAAAATGGGGGGGGGGAAGAGGGGAAAACACTCTTCTCAATGCTTCCTTTCTACTGGCCCTCATTCCAGGCGTGTTCTCAAGCACACACTCCTGTGCCCACTGAATCCTTCATACAGAACACTTCACACCCCACTCACCCCATACACCCAATCACAAAGACAGACCTCCAAACTCTGTCCATTTGCAAAGTCTCCAAATCCCACCCACTTCTCAAACTCCACCACAGTCTCCCAAAGTGCCATCGAGACTATCCCAAGTCAAACTCATCTCTCCTGCCTTTTCTAGCTCTCTCAATATCCGAAAGATATATTTTAATTACACATTCTCAAGACAATATTCATAACTACTTAGAATACTAACATCAAACAGGCTGGAATCCATTTACTAGTAGTGGGCTCTAAAGTCATTTAAGTTAGTCAAAACTAAGTCTCGGTTTTCTCAACTATGAACACGGGGATAATAAGAGTTTGGCACTGTTGCTCATGGCGTAGTTATGAGGATTAGAAGAGTAATTAATGCAAAGAGCCTACTACAGAACATGCAGTCACTAAGTATTAGCCATTTTTATGCTGTCAATCATCATCCTCTAGCTTCGCAGATGCCTGAAGAGCCCAGCCAGCCTCTAGGCCCTTGAGGGCAGAGACTGCATTTTACACATGCTTAATAAACACATCTTTATAACTAAATCACACGTGTTAGTCACTCAGCTGTGTGCAACTCTTTCCGACCCCATGGACTGTAAACCTGCCAGGCTGCTCACTCCATGGAATTCCCCATGGACATGAAAGGCTAAGGGGATAAGTACAGTATACTCATGCACAGAACTAGTCTAGGGTTAGGAAGCAATAGCCACCACATATTTAGAGAAGGCCTCATTATGGACCAAGCAATACTTATTAGGTTATGATAATTTTCATGGCATGCCATGAATACCTCACTCCAGAAAGTACCTAAACTTACATAGCAAATACAGAAGCTGTATGTTAATAGCTAGCCTGTGAATTGCCAGAGATTCTTCTCCCCAGCCAGGCATCTCACAGGATCAACCATGGATTATATCAGGAGGAGGGGACCTATCATAGCAGATCTTTAGGCAGAGAGTAAATACTGGAAAATAAATTCTAAGTGACTGTGAGGTAGCCCTACTTACATTCTCCTAAAAATTGCAAGAAAATTTCTAAAGCATTCTATAGTTTAATGCCAAGGCAGGATATGACTGAAAGAAACTGGATTCAAAGGTCAAAGACCTGGATTTGACCCAGCTGTGTCACTACGCAAGTTTACATAAAGGAGAGAGGTGAGAAGTTTGTTTTAAGCAACATACCAAAGCTTTAATGTGCTGTCTCTCAGCTCCTTACTTCATACACCGCATTAACAATTTAAGAAAAATCCTTAATTTTTAACTTCAATAAAAGATAAACAAGAATGCCTTGACTCCATTCTATTTCTACAACACAAGACCATTTAGAGGTCTATTTTTTTATCTTTACTAAGTAAAGCTAAAGGTATATACTGTCATCCTGCTTATTTAAGTTATATGCAGAGTGCATCATGTGAAATGCCAGGCTGGATGAAGCACAAGCTGGAATCAAGACTGCCGGGAGAGAAAAATCAATAACCTCAGATACGCAGATGACACCACCCTTATGGCAGAAAGTGAAGAAGAACTAAAGAGCTTCTTGATGAAAGTGAAAGAGAAGAGTGAAAAAGCTAGCTTAAAACTCAACATTCAAAAAACTAAGATCATGGTATCTGGTCCCATCACTTCAATGCAAATAGACGGGGAAATAACGGAAGCAGAGACAGCCTATTTTCTTGGGCTCCAAAATCACTGCAGATGGCAACTGCAGCCATGAAATTAAAAGAAGCTTCCTCCTTGGAAGGAAAGCTATGACCAATCTAGACAGCATATTAAAAAGCAGAGGCATTACCTTACCTACAAAGGTCCGTTGAGTCAAAGCTATGGTTTTTCCAGTAGCCATGTATGAATGTGAGAGCTGGACCATAAAGAAGGTGAGCATCAAAGAATTGATACTTACGAACTATGGAGTTGGAGAAGACTCTTGAAGAGTCCCTTGGACTGCAAGGAGATCAAACCAGTCAATCCTAAAGGAAATCAATCCTGAATATTCGTTGGAAGGACTGATGATGAAGCTCCAATACTTTGGCCACCTGATGTGAAGAGCTGACTCATTGGAAAAGACCCTGACACTGGGAAAGATTGAAGGCAGGAAGAGAAGGGGACGACAGAGGATGAGATGGTTGGATGGCATCACTGACTTGATGGACATGAGTTTGAGCAAGCTCCAGGAGTTGGTGATGGACAGGAAAGCCTGGCATGCTGCAGTCCATGGAGTTCCAAAGAGTCAGACATGACTGAGCAACTGAACTGAAGTAAAGCTAAAGTCCTAGCAACTGAAGACACAGCTATTTTACATTTTGATGAAATTTCAACAGGGAGAGTTATTTAATCCATTCATTCAAAAATATTTACTGAGCACCTATAGTCAGTCAGTTTCAACAGCTCAGTAAATAAAAAGAGACAATTAAAAGGAAGTTCAAATTCTAGTTGGAGGTGCCTAGTAAACAAACGAACAAATGATTAGAAAATACGTGGAATGATACTATGTTCTGGAGAGAAGTAAAGCAGGAGAAGGAGCATGAAGGGTGAAGAGACAGACTTGTGATCCTCCACTGGAGGTTCAGGGACTTCTTCACTGAGGAAGCAGCACTGAAAGATGAGAGTGAGTCTGTGTCAGTATCTGGGGAAAGGGCTTTCCAAACAAAACACACAAGTGCTGTAGTCCTCAGGCAGGAGATAAATTTAATGTAGATATTCTGGAAGAAAAAACAAAATTTAAACACCTAGAATGGAGTCCTAGCTCTTTGCCCTTTACCAACTCAGTAACCTTCAGAAAGAAAACATTACCCCTCCTGAACCTCAATATTTTACTCTGTAATTAAGGATACTACCATGTAACTTACAAAGTTCTTTCAATGGGAATATTTAAGAATGTACTTTACAACACTGAAGGATTATTACCAAATGTTTTTGTCCCGAGGGCTGTGGGAAATCTAATGGAGGCTCTGATGGCTTCCAGCTACAACTTAAATCAATGATCAAGTTTGTTTCCTTGTTTGTCAAATGCGGAGAATGGCATCTATCTCACCAGGCCTTGTGGGGATTGAGTTAATGAGATCATCCACAGAAATACAGGAACTGATACGCATATTTCTCAAAAAGTGAAAGATCAGCATTATTATCCCTATGGGGGCTGCCCTACAAGCAGGAAGAGCTCTGCTGTCCGGCTCAGCAACAGACGCCCAGGGTGAAGTGTTCTGAAGCTATTCCTTGGGCAAGTGTAGACCTGATTGGGCTTATACATCGTTAGTCACTTCAGTCGAGTCTGACTCTTTGCGATCCCATGGACTGTAGCCCACCAGGCTCCTCTGTCCATGGGATTCTCCAGGCAAGAATACTGGAGTGGGCCACCATTTCCACCTCCAGGGGATCTTCCCAACCCACGGATCAAAGCGCCTCTCCTAGTCTCCTGCTTTGGCAGGTGAGTTCTTACTACTAGCGCCACCTGGGAAGCCCTGATTGTAAAGTCTGTTTAAACACTTTGCAGGACTCACTAAGTGTTTTTCTCTCCTCCACATTCTACTGTGATGTTCCGGATTGTAAGAAACCATTTTCATTCTCTTAAGTCTTTTCAATACATGCAGGTACGCTTAAAAGAGGCTTGAAATTAAGCTACCACCAAAGTGATTTTCCACCCAGTTTGTGACGTCTTCACAGCCCTTCTTCGGAGCCGCCTTACTTCACTAGCGTTTGGTGCTAGACGCGCTCCTTTTATAAGTACGTGATGACATCACTTCGCGTCGCGCTTGCGCAGCTTGGTGGCGTGGCCACGCCCACGCCTGCGCGGAGACCTAACGTCCGCACAGTCTGTGGCGCGCCTTCCCGGAAGAAGTCAGTACGGGGCTCGGTGAGTGAGGTCCGACAGTAGGACGGCCGGCGGGTGAGTGCACCGAGTGTCCGAAGGACAGCTGTGCGCTGGTGGTGAGGATGCTGTTAAAGGGGAAGAGGTAGGATGACGAGGAAAGTTCCCGAATGACGAGGAAAGTTCCCGAGTCCTTCCAGAGTAAGCGAGAGTTGCAGTGGTTGGTGAGCTGATGACTCCGAAAAGCTGCGGATCTTCGGCTCAGAAGGCAGACTTTTTCTGAAGTGCTGATGCTGGTCGCCACAGAAAAGAAGTTACCATGGACTCACTTCCAGCGATTTCCTTGAGTTTGCATTCGAAACTGGGAGAAAGGCCTGAGGTGATTTCGTCGGAAGTATCTGTAATTCGACCCCTTCCTGGCTAGCCTGCGCGCGATTGCTGTCCGCGGTGCTGAAAACAGCGGTATCTTCAGGAAGAAACCCGTTGAGGGCAGGGCAGTATTTACATTTTCCTCGACTTTGCTCAGAGACCTACGCTCTGTGTGTGTGATGAAGGAAGGGCTCATTTTTTAATTTTTTTAATCAGTGCTGGAAACGCAGGCGACGAGCAGACAACCAGCATTAGTTTCATAAAATTTAGGAAAGCCAGTGCTTCATTCTAAGACTGATTTTTCATTCTTTTTTTTTTTTTTAAATTATATTATTTCGGCTTGGCTGCATTCTCTCTTTGTGCAGTCAGGAAACTTCAGTCCGTGCACCCAACCAGATGATTTGCCTTCAGACTCACAGCCATCCAAGTAGTTCACTAGACCTCTGTCTGTACTGACCCAGGCACTTCTACCAAGGTGAGCTTGCTTATGGTATACAGTGTTTTGTGAAAATGGGTTTTCCCAAACTCCCCTAATGAAGAGTCCAGAGCAGCCAGGGTAAGATGAAACCACTTTAAGGTGCTTTTCTCCACAGTTAGGCATGAAAAATACTTCCCCATTTGGAAGAGAGATAGTAGAACTGGGCAGTCTTCCAATAAAGGAAAAACCATGAGTTTCCAGTTGGTTTTCATATTTGTTTGTCTCTCTGTGTGCCTGAGGGATGGTGTTTCTCTGAATTATACACAGTGGATTTTTTTTTTTTCTGTTTTGTTGATTCAGTAAAATGTTTACTAGTCTTGGTACCAGCTGCTTGTTTGTTTTGAATTCTGATTAAGGTTAAAGTGTGTGTGTGGCTGGGGGTAGGGGACAGGGGAAGTATGCTGTGTTTACCTGTGTCAGTGTTCTGGGATGCATGTGGCATCTGGAAAACTATGCATTGTGAGTAAACATATGTAAAATGAAAGAATGCATTTAAAAACATCATCACAGCCCAAGCTGTATTTTTCCCTTCTGAGACAGAACCAATAGATTGAGATGCTGAATGATCAAAATATTGCAAAGCTAAGGCCATGGGGTAGAAATAACTTTGAATGTCCTTACTATTTAGCAGAAAGCTTATCAAGGCAGCTTTGATTAAAGATGACGTCTCTGCTCACTCAAGAAATTCGCCTTTCTAAAAGACATGAAGAAATGTAAGTTGTTGTTGTTGTTTTAAAAAGGCTAATCTCAATGTATGCACTGTACTGGCTTTATTAGTGACACTGTGTGCACAGGAAAACTTAAAAATCTCTAAGTATGTCATTTTTTGTGACACTTGAGAGATTTTGGTTTTAAGGAATGTCATTACCCCTCAAGAACAACAAAGATTAAAAGGTCTGATTATGTTTTATGTCTTTAATTTCTTGTTACTAATATCTAGATAAATTCACTCTCCCTCTTAGCTGCTCTATGCTCTACACTGCAGTTCAGTGAACTTCTCTAAGCCTTTTACCAAGACCAGCTTTCATGAGTATGTGACCTGTATAGTCACAGGCCCTGCACTAGATTTAGTCTAAGAGCAACATTTTCATTTTGCACTGGGCTCTGCAAATTATATGGCCAGTCCTGCAATTTTATTTAGTATTAACCCTTCTCTAACCACTGTTTTTGGGCTCTCATGTTTTGCTTTTCTTTAAATAATTACCAGCCTCTCTGCCGTGGCCTTCTAAGGTATTTTTTTTATGAAAATGACTTTTCAAAGACCTGGCTTTTTATTTCTACTCTCAAGAACAACCCTGTGCAACATACTGTTTCCTGAGAATCTCCTCAACTCTTTGAGAGATAGTTAGACTATTACTGTACCATTTGTGTATTTTTTCTCATTTGATCACTTAATAAGACTAAACACTTACAAAAGGAGCATTTAACCATGGAGAAACTTTTGAAGTCTGTTATATATAACAAAGTGCTTTGATAATTTATTTACAACTTTCTACATCTTCAATTAGTTTTACCATGTTGTGAGTATGCATGTGTACACACAGCCTCTCACTCATATATGGAACTATCATCTTTCTCTTGGAAAAAGAGGAAAAAAATATTTTTATTGCTGCTTCAAACATATGGAAGTTTAGCACAATTCTAAATGTGTAACATAAGATTCAGGGGTACTGAAGTGTTAAGCAGAAGGTTTTGTATAGCAAGTCATACCAATGTCTGTGTGGGGAGGTATATTTAAGTGTGTGTACAAAGGGGTATGGATTACAGTTTGCATTTGCACTAAATATTTTCCAACACTTTAAAATACTTTCAAGACTAGAGAGGTTAAAAAAACACAAGTGTGTACTTACAGTGTAAATATGAAAATAAAAATAATTTCACTGAGACTGAAGACTTCCTGAACTACCTAAGTTTTTCACTGTCTTATTAACTGACATATAGTAACTGACTTTAAAAGTAGGTTGAACTGGAAGTGAGGTGCAATTAAGAAATGATTTATATTGGCCAAGCAATAAAATGTTTCTTTTTAAAATCTTTACGTAATCATTTTTTTGTAGAGTATCACAAAGATTAATGTTACTTCAACGAATGGAGAATAAACCTGCAGATCAAAACAAGGGAAAGGCCTCACAGACACAAGCAGCTAATGCTGCTTTACAAAGGAATGTTAGTCTTTTAAAGGTAAGATTCTCTGAATGAATGAAACCTATTTTCCCCACTTTTGCAAAAAGGTTTTAATTCAATTTCATTACTTTGATTTATGTAATTCCTTTGAGTAACAAATAGAATTAATGATACACTACTATTTAAATTCATGTTAACTGGACAAGCAGCATGGATTTTCACTTATTAAAATGAGAGCCTTGACGTTTGCTTAGGCTAATGAAAAATCAATAACTATAAAAAGAACTTTAAAGCCATCTTTGTACAAGAAGTAATGAATACAAGACATAGCTTCTGGGGACTTCCCTGGCATCCCAGTGGTTAAGAATCCATCTTCTGATGCAAGGGACATGAGTTGGATCCCTGGTCAGGGAACTAAGATTCCTCATGCTCATATCGCAACTAAGACCTAACGCAACCAAAAAAAAAAAAAACAAAAAAAAAGACATAGCTTCTATCTTCCATCTTCTTTTATTTGTAGGGAGATTCTGAAACACGATAAAGTACCTATCATATGCTAGAAACAATCTGATTTTGCCCTCCTGGGGCCACAGTCAATATACAGATTTTGTATCTAAGGTAACAGATTTCCCAGGATCTTCTTTGATGGTGATGGAGGAGGTGGTCAAAGTATGTGACTGCGCAGGGCCTCACCATTTGGCCAGTGTGCCCATTTGGAGTAAAATCATATGTGTAACATTTTTGGCTGCTTGCTGTACTTTGCTTCCAGAATTGTATGGCTTCATCCATAATTAAAACCCTAAAGTTTGCTTCCATTCGAGCTTCCAAGAGATCCTATGACTAAAACATTTGGTAGTAAGGCTATATTATTTAAGTTATAAAGCAGTGTTTTCAGTTTTTTATTGTTAAATATTTTCATCGATAGGCATGATGTAGTTCTCTTCTGTCCTCACTAGAGGATAAAGGAAGAGGAAAATTCAGTTATCTTCTCAGCTTCTGGCAGTTTGATCCACAGTAATTTAAGTCACAGCCATAGTGCTACCAAAGCATTCTATATTGCCATATGTCTTACTTGCCCAATGGTATTTGCAATATTTATTTTTAAATGGAAATATATAGGGTAATCTAGAAGTTGCTCTGAAAAGTCAGAAAATCCAAATTGGAAGTCTTCACGGCTTGCTTGCTACTTGTTACGGTGAGTGCAGGTAATATCGGCGAGTGCAGGTAATATTGTCTTCCTTTTAATGCCCAAGTATTTGACGAATGCCCAGCTCTTTACTCTTGAGCTAGTTTTGAGCAGAAAGTGAGGGTAACAAAGTAACTACAAGTTAGCTCCTTTACATCAAGTAGCTTACAGGCTCTGTTCATGACCTAAAATATATGCAAAACAGAGACCCTGTATGATCAAACATTAATTACACACTGTGGAATACTCAGCACTTTGCTGTGTGCTCAGTCGCTCAGTTGTGTCCTACTCTTTGTGACCCCGTGGACTGTAGCCCGCTAGGCTCCTCTGTCCATGGAGATTTTCCAGGCAAGAATACTGGAGTGGGTTACCACGCCCTCCTCCAGGGTACTCAGCACTTTAGGAGTGTTAAAGTACTTAGCACTTTAGAAGTGCTAAACACTCTTGGAGAGCTAGAATATTCTATGAGGTCTCAGAGAAGAAGCTAAGCTAAGTAGGAAGACATTCCATTGAGTTCTCAAGGACGATCCAAGACCAGAAGAAGAATGAACGGCCTATTAATGTTCACGGGATCCTAAGCTAACTGGCTTGGAAGGCCCCAGGAAACAGGCTGAATGTATATTGTGAGATGAAATGAAGTTGAGACTTGGTATGTAGAGATAATATAGTGTTGTGAGCAAAAAAACAAAAAAAAAAGCAAGACTTAAACATATGAAAGAGTTTTTAAGAAAGATTCATTTGCTATTTAGCAAAGTAATTTCAAAAATGGAGAGATTTAAGGAGGTAGCTAAGAAATCACTGTCATATCTAAAAGGAAGGTAATGAACCTAGTTTCATAGTCTTGAGAAACCAGTTTGGTATGGTGTTTCTTCCCTTAATTATCAAAATAATATACTCTCATTATAAAAAAAACTTGAAAGAGCCAAGATGGAAAACCTTCTATATCATCTGCCTGTCCAGAAATTAGTATATTTTTCTATATTTCTTTTCAGCTTTTTATAAACATTTTTTTAAACTCTCTTACATCCCAGGTAAAGTTACAGATGCAGTTTCCCCCTAGTTTGTAACATGTGTGCTTAGTCACTTTGAATAATTGGATATGCAACCTTTTTTTGTCCTTTCCCTCATATATAATTTTTATATACAAGGGATATAATTTTAGTGGCTCTCCCACAGAAGTTATTGTTAAGATAAACAGGACTTGATTACAGAATTTGAGCTGGGAAAGACTGTAAAAAGCATATAGCTTTAGATTCTTATCTAAAGTATTTTTTGTTTTGCTTTGTTTTGTTTTTTAGCATAAAAACTTTCCCTGCAGATATAAAATAAAGGTCTTCCCCGATACTTAGTGGTAAACAACCCACTTGCCAATGCAGGAGATGCGAGTTCAACCCCTGGGTCGGGAAGATCCCCTGAAGGAGGGAATGGCAATCTACTCCAGTATTCTTGCCTGGGAAATACTATGGACAGAGGAGCCTGGCGGGCAACAGTCCAAAGGGTCACAAAGACTCAGACATGACTGAGCACACACAGTAGATAAAAGTGGTCCTGCTCTGGCCCAAAGTCCTACAGTCCCTTCCTTGACTGTACTGCCGGGGCTCTAGAGAACTGGGAAAACCACTGATCTGGGCGAATCCCTTAATTTATAGAGATGAGAAAACCATAATGTATCACTCCTAACACCCCTTTGCAAGAACAGATTAAATAGGATTTCTTGGGCAGTTCAGTGGTTAAGACTCTGCTCCCAATGCAGGGGGCACAGATTTGATCCACAATCAAGGAATAAGATCCTCCTGAACACACACACACACAAAGAGATTAAGTTAGAGCAGGATAGGTACTTAAGTACCAGGTGCAATTGAAAATGTTGCCCTTAAAACCTGGTAGCACTCCTATAAGATAGTAAACAAAGTAAGGATGGCTGTATACTGTCCATTATCTGACCTTATTCCCATCTTCTGAACAGTATCATGAACACTAAAAGGGCAAGAGCTTTAACTTTAAGAAAGAAAGATACAACACTAGCATCTTTCAATGACATGTCTTTATACTTGAGAAGCCAAAGTTGTTTCAAAACTAGTACGAGTTGAGTAAAATTAATAGGTAAAACATAAACATATAAAAATCAATAGCAATCCTATGTATACAGGTGGAAAATAGAGATCACATTCACGTTAGCAATAAAATTATAAAATACATACTTGGGAATGCTCTTAACAAAGGATCTGTATGACTGCTATGAAGATAATTATTACACTTCAGTGGCAGTTTTAAGGGAAAACTTAAATGAAGACATAAGCCTTAATCCTGACTGGGGAAACTATTATTTTTTCTAAGTCATCTGTCACAAAATTATTTTTTGATTTAGTAAAATCCCAACAAAAAGTGTCTTTAATTGCATTTGAATAAATAAATTAGCACAAATCTCAAAGACTGATTTTAAAAGGGGAATGAGAGTAATCCCGTCAAAGATTCAAACTTAGTAAAAAGTGTATATGAATGTAAGTAGTGAAGAAAATTCACAGTGAAGGTTTAGTCAGTAAATGTCATGGAAGACGGTGGATTTTGAAAACTGGCTAAGTGATTTTTTTTTCTGTTACCGTTAATACAATGAACTCTGTCTTTTAAAATCAAACATAAATGGACTTAGAAGCCTGAAAATATTTTATTCTACAAATATTTCCATGATATAAACCGCCCTCTCTCCCACCTTTCCCTCCACAAAATTTAGTTTAAACCCCAAAAGATGCTTTTTTGGCAACAGGTCCAAGAGGACAGAGTGAGGAGAACGAGAGTGTCCTCCAGCAGGTCAGACACGCAGCCAGTGTTCTTCAGGGACGTCCTGGAAGCCTCCACGGGGCAGCTGGCAGTCACACTGCCACCCAGGATGGCCAGTACTTGCTGGCCCAGGCCTCTGCTCTTTCCTCTCACATTTCTCACTTTCCCCAATGTGTATGTTTAACACATGTCTCTGCGTTCTTTGTACCAATGACCCTTACACTTCATGTCTTTCATATCTTACTTTTTGTATCCCAGAAATCGCCACTCCAGCAGCTTAAAAGATTAAACCCAGCCCAGCCGCAGCTCGATGGGGAGGGAGGGATGTAGGCAGGGAGGAGCAAAGACAGATCTTGGTACTTGATGCTTTGTGCTCCTTCCTTTTCCTGTTCAGGAGTCAACTTGTTTATACAGGCTCCCGAGTCATGCCATAGAGTCACAGTTATACCGTCACCCACTGGAAGCTTGTTTTTTAATTGCTATGAAAAATCTCACAACTATGCAAAAGAAGGGATAGAAGAATATTTCCATGCACTTATCACCCACATTCAATCATTGTCAGAACACAGCCAGCTTGTTTTGTCTATACTCTTCACCTCTACCCCCTCACATCACTTTGAAGCTAACCTTCAGACACTGCATTGTTTCACCTGTAAATATTTCTGTACATCCCTTTATTTCAGTGTCTGTCACTAAAAGATAAGGACTGTTTTAACCAAAATCAAAATGTCAGTATCAACCTAAGAAATTAACAATAAACCCTCAAATAGCTAATCAGGTTCCAAATAAAATTCAACTTGTAATTGATAGGTTTCCTAAATTTCTCACAGTCCTCCCTGCTCTTTTACACCCACTTTTAATACATTTGTTAAAGGAATTGGGTCATTTGTCCTGTTGAGTTTCTGGGTATCGCTACTTCCATCACTGAGGTACTCATTTAACATGTTGCTCTGTTCCCCCTCATTCCTTTTAATATAATTGACAGATCTAAATTGTGTTGTGAAACAGAAATGTGGTGCAAGCCACATATGTAATTTTAAATTTCCAAGGAACTAATTTTAATAATGTCAACCTGAACAGATTAAATCAAATGTTAAGACTTCAAACATATTTCAAATGTAATTGCTATAAAAAGTTAGTAAATATTTTATATTCTATTTTCTTACTAGACCCTCAAAATTCAGTGTGTATTGTACATCACAACACATCTTAATTCAGACGTGTATATTTCAAGTGCTCAGCAGCTACTTGAGGCTAAGAAATACTCCATTAGCAGTGCAGATTATAGAGAGGCCTGAGCAGATTCAGATTCTATGTTTTTGGGAAAAACACTTCCATAATGCCAGCTGTCTCTCTTTTTTTGGAATGTTAGGCATTGATGATCACTGCCTAAGTATACTCATTAGGGGTTATGAAAAGCAATATTCAAATTCTTTTATTCCTTCTCATTCAACTGCTGATTAGTTATATTAAGAGACACTTGTCCTCATCAATTATTTGATTACACTGAGGTATATTTCATAGAGGAATAAGCATGACGAATGCTTGATTCTATTTAGTTTTCAGAATAATAGGTTGGCTCTCTACTGTCCTGCAAAAGTGACCAATTAGGTGTTGTTGGTTTTGGTTGGTTTTTTACATTGTTTTGTGTTTTGTTGCTGTTGTTTTTTGAGGTGTCCTGGGTTGGAAATGTTTCAATCCATTTCAGTATTTATTCCCGTTTATTGTCAACTTGTTCCATTTTAAACAAGTGGGAACCTCTTCAGATTAGCTCCTGAATGCCTCTGCTGAGATCTCAGCAGCATGACCGTTTCCTTTCTGTTCTGATGAAACATTCCAGGCTCATCATGTGCATTTGTTGCTGAGACCTGGAACAGCCACTGTTCCAAGGAGCCCTGGATCCTTTTGGTAGGAAATATGTTTGGAGCCCTCTCTCTGGGTAATGGTGGTGTTTATTTTGACCTTTTTTTTTTTTTTTTTAAAGATAAGAGCTCCTATCAGAAATTCCAGGATTCTAGTTTGCAAGGCTTTTAACTTAAAATCATAGATTTTATACCTCTTCTTTTTCTGAAATCCAAAATCTGTTCCCAAAGAAGTTTCCAACACCAGCACAACTACTTCTGTACCTTATGTCCTATGATCCAGACAGCACTGTCACTATCCATGTGATTATAAAGAATCGTTTTCAGTAAGATGCTTTTACTAACATTCTTTTTGTCCTTAGGGTGTATCTCACTAGGGGTGCTCACTCAAAATATTGTGTTCTAAGGTCACTTGATATGTTTATTCTCTGTGTAGTTATGCCACCTATTAGACAGCAGTTAGATCTGTTTATTTTCAAGCTGTAGGGACTGCTTTGTCAGTTGTTTTCTAACTACATACAACTTTAAATGGTCTAGTGACAAGTCTATACAAGACAGCAAGGTAGTCAGGTAAAGCTGGCCAGCAAGCCCCTGTTCTCCTCTTTCTTCCTTTTCTTCCCTTACCCCCTTGGGTACTTTTTTCTTTTTCTTTAAAGGTTCTGATTTATACTCAGGATTCTTTGACCCTTCAGCCTGTATTTACTTAATGAATATTTCAGTACCTAGTACATACCCTGCACTTACTAGATTCTCAGATGCTTAAAGGTTATATAAGACATAGTCCTTTCCTTTAGGCAGCATATAGTGGAAAAGAAGGTTCTTAAGCTGAAGGATTAAGATACAACTTGCTACAGAAGGATGCTGTCAAATTGCTGAGATTCTGAGTCAGGCTACGGAATGCCTGCTTGATCCTCTGTGTTATGGGTACCAATTTATCTTTTTTTTAAATCTAGGGGAGGACATATGTAAAGTAGCTTTTAGCAGAACTAATCAATTCCAAGTTATGTATGTATTAAAGTACGATATGGTCTAGGCATGAGTACAAGTAAGCATTAAGTATTTGTTGAATGAATAAGTGTAATTAGAAGGCCACAGTATTAAGAATCACATGAAAAGGCCAGAGGAGACATCCTGAGAGAACAATATAGGGAGTGCTGAATTTTTAAATGGCAGGAATAAGATTTGGAATTACACGATACAGCATAGGTATCTGAGTGGATAGAATTCCCACTAATATACGTGTTTAATACATTCAGTGGAAAAAGATGACTTTAGTTTTATCAGGTTTAGAATTAAGGGCCAGGAAGAGAAACTAGCCATCCTTCTATGATAATAATTGATACTGGATCAGAGACAATCTTGGAGGCAGAAAAAGTGAAAAGCTGGGGCCAGATGTCTCAAATCTTAAGAAAGCCCACACTGAGGATTAATGAGAGAAAAAAAGAGCCAGCCAAGGAGCAGAGGGGGAGGAGGAGTCCGAGAGGTAAGCGAAACATTGAAGGAAGTGAAATATGACTTGAGCTAAGGAAGAAGTTCTCTCGAGGGGTGATAATCCCTTGTCCAAATGCTGCAGAGATGACAGCCGGGTTTGGCGGACTTGGGCCTGCTTTTCCAGGCCATGCGTCCCTCTCCTCCTGTCTGCTCTTTCCACTGCAAATCTGCTCTTCTCTACAAGATACTCAGTATTCTTATTTTCTGATCTTTAAGAAAAATGTTTAACCTTGCCTATAGGTCGCAAAGAGTCGGACACGACTGAGCGACTGAACTGAACTGAACTGATAGGTGCTAGCAGCACCTAGATCTCCCAGTTCAGGTAACTTTGTAACTGTTCTTAGAATAATGGTAACATTGGGATTGTGAGTTTTGTTTGATTCCTAGATGTATAAAGTGGTTTTCTCAGAACCCTGTTGAATCTGAGTGTAAACAGAAGAGTTGGTATCCCCTGTCTGTTGTATCACTGACATCAAAAGCCCTCTAAGCCTGCGTGTTGGTCGTGAACTGCTGGTATGGGATAGAGTTGCTAATAGATGAGCTTTTTATCCCTAAATCATTTTCTTTCCCCTTCAAATCACCTTCCTCCAGACAGCAGGTGCACTAATGGCTGTGCAACTTTGGGGAGTCCCTTTAGGGAATTTCCTGTTTTTCCCTTTTCCATTTCACACCCATCCCTTGCTCCCGCCGCTGCCATCTGCTATCTCTTTTCTCCTGTTCAGCGTTGGCTTCTTCACACCCCACTCCCACGCCCTTTTCCATCGCTCTCCTTCTGTCCAACAGCCCTGCACTCAGATCGCTCCTGTGCTTCTACATGGAGCGGAGAACTTTTTCTTTTCTATCAACTTATTAAGCTGAGAGACAGAATTTACACAGCCTTCCCACCAGCGGCCCTGTGAACTTGACAAACCTGAGCAAGCAGGAGACAACAGAGGTGCTGATTTGGGGAGAATTTACTACGCGGGGCTTGAGTATCTCTCTAACAACTTGTAAAGTCTTACATTTCTGGGCATGAACTTTATGTACAGATCTAGATAAAATTGTTCCTGAACTATGAATCAAGCTTAAATACTCTTGTGTTTCTACATCCATAAGAGAAAACATAAGTATCTACATGTTTAAGTACTTGGTAACACATAGTGCTTGAATGCCATGAGCTGAAGGATATACTACCTCGCAATAAAATTTGCCTTTGAGATTAGCTTAGAAATCTGGTACTAAAAGTCTAAACAGCGTAGCAAAAGGTTCTTATTGCAGAGTACTCAGGTACCTCATGGACCTTTTAAATATAGGGACTATTTGCCTATGTATAAAATTCAAATATGAAGTCCTGCATAAATGAAAGGTGTGTCATTAATATACCATGTGCATGATCTAGACAGACTAGAACTCTCCACTTTGAAGGTTAGCCTAGCGTGGGTCTGAGGATCTGATTGTTTTTAGTATTGGAATATTTGACTATTTTATCCATCTGGCTGTTTTTAAAGGATTTTAAAGCTAAGTTAGTCCTCTGAGCAGTTTTAGAGGAAGTTCTTTTTCCAAGAATTACTGGCATTTACTAACTACTTAAAATGAAAAAGGCAGAACTTACATGTACCACCCCATCCCCTGCCTTTTATTTTAAAATAAGAAACACTTGCTTCTCTGTTTGCAACTGGTTAATTAAGCAGTGATCAGTTCTGTCAGCATCATCTCCATGAGTTTAAACTGTGTATGCAGAGGAGAGTTGAAGCAAGAGATTAGAAATATATAGCTTTTGCTATTAGAGGTGCTGTGTGTGTCTGTGAATGTTTTGAAAAATGCTTCTATCTGTTTCAGGATATAGAAGCAGCAGAAAAGTCTCTACAGACCCGGATTCATCCAGTTCTACCACCTGAGGTGGCTGCTCTTGAGGTGAGAATCTTAAGGAACACATGTCCAACAAGAGACTCCTATTCTGTCAGTAGTGCATTTTAAGTGGCTCTGTGTATTTCCCAGCTTTCTGCATCCAATAAAATACACAAAATGTATCTGATTGATCTCTCTGTCCACAGTGCCATACCCTGTACAATGTAGTAGTCTGTAAGTATTTTGGTTTTAAAAAATTGTTACATCAAGTGAAAATTTTATCGAGACCTTGTGTCTTTTCACCAAGTCACTTAGAAACTACTTTCTTGTTAAATCCTAACAGACAATATGCACTAAATCTTAAGATGACAGCCTCACCAAAATGCTTTTCCTGTTGGCTGATGTTACAAGTAGCAGCTCAGTCTCTTCACCGAAAAATGCAACCAGCGCTATTTAAATGCATATTATCATGCAGCACAGCGTGGCTTTTGTCTGTTTGATTTTGCTCTGTTCAAGAACAGATTGAGAAGATGGCTGGCAAAAATAAACCATAGTTGGTACATGCATGTAAGTGTGCCGAAAGGGAATTGCTACATATAAAATAGTTTCACTATATTTTTAATGACCTTTTTCTAAGTGCAGTTTTGCTTGCTGCCTAACCAAGGAGGTGAACAGACTCAAAAATGAAAGGCTGAGAATTTGCCCCGCAATCTTCTGTGTCATCTAGGGTAATAAGAAAAGGCAGTGATCAAGGACAGAAAAAACTCCCGTTCAAAGTTGTGCCCTGGGCATGTCTTTTTCTTTGTTGAATTTTCCAATACCTTACCCTGGCCTGCACAGGGCCCACACAATAGGGGTTAATCCAGCCGTGAATGGCGGAGAAACACCCAACCACAGGCCTCGGCTGGTATTTTTCTTAGCTAGTCTCGCACAGCAGGATGGCCCCTGTTTTAAGTACGTCAGGCTACTTCTCAGACCACATGCATAGATGCCTAGATAAATGGAGTCCCATGCCATCTTCAGCTTGCAGAACTCCCGTTATCTTTTTTTTTTTTTTTCAAATGACAGTATTTTATTTTTTTGGTCATGCAGCATATGGAATCTTAATTCTCTGACCACAGGTCGAACCCAAGCCCCCTACTGTGGAAGCGCCGCATCCTAACCACTGGACCACTAGGAAATTCCTCCCACCCCATACCTTTTTATTGCTCAGAGTGTGTCCCCAATGCTATCTAACTCTTTGAATTTCCCAAGATGAGACTGATAGTGACGATCTCATGTAAAATGCCCTCCTATGACGCAGAGTTTTTGGCAGCTTACTTAGGACAGTCAACCTTGAGTCCAGCCAGCTCAGGACAGCTGTCCAGTGATGCAGCCAGAGCCTCTGTGGCTTAGGGACCGCTCCAGCCAAGGCAGAAACACAGCACCTCAATTTCCAAGTTGTGTGAATTAAAAATAGCTAGGTGATGTTGGTGTTATTTTGTCATTATCCAAAAAAGCGTGGGAAGAAGCTACAATTTGCCACATCAAGTGCTGTTCTAAAAGACAGAGTGGATACGTATTTTTAATGTTTCTCCCTCGTACAGTTAAGGGGTTAATTCACCCGAATCCTGTTATCATCTTTATATTTCAGTTCCTGATCTCATCCCAGGTCACTTCTTTTTCTGTTCATTCTAAAGCAGTTGTTCACAGTGAATCATGTCATTGTGATAATTATAGTATGAAGAGTCATTTGGTACGGGATTAGAAACATTAAACAAGAACTTTTAATGATTTTTGTGGCCATAAATGATACTAC